AGCCCAGCTGGCTCCCCGCTGCCGACACTTCGCTGCCGCCATCTCATTGGTGTCCGAAGAGCCTGTTGACCTGGGGAACCTGTTGCGGTCACCCCTTGGGACCCCCAGACTACCAACGGACTGTCCTGTTCCTTGACTAGATGGGATCTGTAGTTTCTTCACTTCTTGATGTGGATCCCAACCTCCAGCACTGGCAGCCGCTTCCAAAAGGACCCAATGGACTCTAGGGGCACCTTCCCCAGCTTGCCCCCATGGATTCTACAACTTTTCTAGAACTTTAATCAACTTTTTAAAACCTTTGGAATCTTTTTGGAACTTTTCTTCCCCAAACCCCATGGACTTCCTTCATGATTTTAACCTCTTTATGAACTCTCAATGGGTGTGAAGCCTGGGAGAGAGTTGACATGAACTGCTTTCCCTTCCTATGAATATACATTCATACCCCTTATATGTGTATATATGAAATATGGAATGCCACCTTTTCGTGACCTCAGCATGACAAAATCTTAGGAAATTCTTTCCTATTTCCTGAGATGGATTTCCCCATTAAATAAAAGCACTCAACAAAGACTACTTGCATGAACAAAAACAATGGTGCACCTCAGGCCTCGGAACATGGCCACCTGGAGGAAGCACCCCATGGAGATTCAATCACTCTTCAACAAAGGAGACTTCCTGCCTTCAGGAGGACTTGGGCACCCCTTCTGTCTCACCCATTGTTCCCATACCCCTTGGTTGAAACCAAAGACCAGATAGCATCAACTGATCCGATACCCAAGGCTGGAGATTACCGGGGCTTGGCATCCGCTCCAGCCACTTTTGCATATTTCACCCTGATGAAACAATACCAGGCCAGCTTGAGGAATCTTCAGATTATCGCCGGCAATCAGACACACATTAAGTCACATTAATCCACTCATTTTTTCCTCCTGGTTCATTGTTCCCGCTTGCACCGCCTCTTCGCTCCTCATTGGCTGAGAAGCCGAAGCGGCGCTGGATTTCTCATTGGAGGAGGCATGCCTAAGCCGGCCGTGCCTCCCCTACAGCTGACCAATCAGCGCGAAGCCAGCAAGGGGACGGGAAGTTTGATTTGACAGTTCTATATCTCTATAAAAATGTATCTTTTTGCCCTGCCAAACATGTCAGCCTTGGCAAGGGATTGCGGTTTGACATCCGTACCATCTGGGACGAAATAAAGACAACTCGGTGGCTTTTCTTCAACTTGGTGAGACTTTTATTGGGAAAATCAGGGAAAAAATCTTGGGTGCTTTTGTCTGTATTGCCAGGACGAACTGATTCTCTTTGGTGGGAATGAGTGGTCTCTGCCTCCTGGAAAATTCCTGCTTGACATCAGATTGGTACACCACGAAGGGACTGGCTTGGGTCCCCACTAAATTTTAGACTAAATTACAAGCCACTACCTGGTCCTAGAGTTTGGGGACAGTCCTTCATGAGTGATCCTTGACTAAGAGCTCTGTAAGATAAACCGGGCTCCGTTGTTGCCCACCCAGGCATCTCCCTCATGGCTGGACTGACCTTGGACTCTGGCACAAAGGAGCTACAGGAAGCACCTCGACTTCCAGGAAGAAAAAACCACTGACTTGAGAGGGAAAACCCTAGGTAAGAGGAAAAATAATAAAGCAGCCAGAAGCTGTGCCGGAAAATTCCTAGGTGGTAGGGGGCTTGGGGGAAGTCAGCTCTGGGACTCGGCAACAAATTCCTAGGTGGGCGTGGGTAGATCTAGGTGTCTGTAGGGAGTTAGCACAGATAGATAGATAGATAGATAGATAGATACATTTTATTGATTGGCCTATTGGCCGTATCAAAACATTGAAGAAGAGAAGGCTGAGAGGAGATAGAAGAAGAGAAGGCTGAGAGGAGATATGATAGCCATGTATAAATATGTGAGAGGAAGCCACAGGGAGGAGGAGGGAGCAAGCTTGTTTTCTGATTCCCTGGAGACGAGGACGCGGAACAATGGCTTCAAACTGCAAGAAAGGAGATTCCATCTGAACATTAGGAAGAACTTCCTGACTGTGAGAGCCGTTCAGCAGTGGAACTCTCTGCCCCGGAGTGTGGTGGAGGCTCCTTCTTTGGAAGCTTTTAAACAGAGGCTGGATGGCCATCTGTCGGGGTTGAATGCAATATTCCTGCTTCTTGGCAGGGGGTTGGACTGGATGGCCCATGAGGTCTCTTCCAACTCTTTTCTATGATTCTGTGTTGCTATAAGAAGATCCTCCCTGGTGCATGTGGCAGGCTCAGGTTGCATTGCAGCAGGTGGTCAGTGGTTTGCTCCTCTCCACACTCGCATGTCGTGGATTCCACTTTGTAGCCCCATCTCTGAAGGTTGGCTCTGCATCTTGTGGTGCCAGAGCGCAGTCTGTTCAGCGCCTTCCAAGTCGCCCAGTCCTCTGTGTGCCCGGGGGGGAGTCTCTCATTTGGTATCAGCCATTGGTTGAGGTTCTGGGTTTGAGCCTGCCACTTTTGGACTCTCGCTTGCTGAGGTGTTCCAGCGAGTGTCTCTGTAGATCTTAGAAAACTATTTCTAGATTTAAGTCGTTGACGTGCTGGCTGATACCCAAACAGGGGATGAGCTGGAGATGTCTCTGCCTTGGTCCTTTCACTATTGGCTGCTACTTCCCGGCGGATGTCAGGTGGTGCAATACCGGCTAAGCAGTGTAATTTCTCCAGTGGTGTAGGGCGCAGACACCCCGTGATAATGCGGCATGTCTCATTAAGAGCCACATCCACTGTTTTAGCGTGGTGAGATGTGTTCCACACTGGGCATGCATACTCAGCAGCAGAGTAGCATAGCGCAAGGGCGGATGTCTTCACTGTGTCTGGTTGTGATCCCCAGGTTGTGCCAGTCAGCTTTCGTATGATATTGTTTCTAGCACCCACTTTTTGCTTGATGTTCAGGCAGTGCTTCTTGTAGGTCAGAGCACGGTCCAGAGTGACTCCCAGGTATTTGGGTGTGCTGCAATGCTCCAGTGGGATTCCTTCCCAGGTGATCCTCAGAGCTCGGGATGCTTGTCTGTTCTTGAGATGAAAGGCACATGTCTGTGTTTTAGATGGGTTGGGGATCAGCTGGTTTTCCCTGTAATAGGCAGTAAGAGCACCTAGAGCTTCGGAAAGCTTCTGTTCTACCATCTCAAAGCTCCCTGCTTGGGCAGTGATGGTATGGTCGTCAGCATAGATGAAACTGGTTGAACTTGCTGCTGGTTGAACTTAGGGGATTCCCTCCACCACCCACGTCCATCCACAATCCCTTCTCCTCTCCCTGGCATCTTCCTCTGCACCCTTGGCAATGCCTACTCCCTCTAGAGCTGCTTCAGCCCCTCCAATGTCTACTCTGACCCCCCTGTCTGCTTTTTCACTTCCCCTCAAGGGCTTCCTCGGCCCCCCAAATTTCTCTCTCTCTCTTACTTCCATGCGCCCCAGAGCATCCTGGATGCCCTTCCAGCTACCCCTCACCCCCAGATCCCTCCCTTGCCACCACCCCTGCCCTTTCATCGGAAGGGTCCTTTGAACCCCTCGTCACCAAGCAGAGTTTGAGAGTTGGTCATGGGGGTTCTGTGTGGGAAGTTTGGCCCAAGTCTATTGTTAGTGGAGTTCAGAATGCTCTGCGATTGTAGGTGAACTATAAATCCCAGCAACTATAACTCCCAAATGTCAAGATTCTATTTTCCCCAAACTCCACCAGTGTTCACATTTGGGCATATTGAGTATTCGTGTAGATTTTGGTCCAGATCCATCATTGTTTTAGTCCACAGCGCTCTCTAGATGTAGGTGACCTACAAGTCCAAAATTCAAGGTCAGTGCCCACCAAACCCTTCCAGTATTTTCTGTTGGTTGTGGGGGTCCTGTGTGCCAAGTTCAATTCCATCATTGGTGGGGTTCAGAGCGCTCTTTGATTGTAGGGGAACTATAAATCCCAGCAACTATAACTCCCAAATGTCCAGATTCTATTTTCCCCAAAACTTCACCAGTGTTCACATTTGGGCATATTGAGTATTCGTGTAGAGTTTGGTCCAGATCCATCACTGTTTGAGTCCATAGTGATCTCTGGATGTAGGTGAACTGCAACTCCAAAACCAAAGGACACTGCCCACTAAACCCTTCCAGTATTTTCTGTCGGTCATGGAAGAACTGTGTACCAAGTTTGGTTCAATTCCATTGTTGGTGGAGTTCCGAATACTCTTTGATTGTAGGTGAACTATAAATCCCAGCAACTATAACTCCCAAATGTCAAGATTCTATTTTCCCCAAAACTTCACCAGTGTTCACATTTGGGCATATTGAGTATTCGTGTAGAGTTTGGTCCAGATCCATCACTGTTTGAGTCCACAGTGATCTCTGCATGTAGGTGACCTACAAGTCCAAAACTCAAGGTCAGTGCCCACCAAACCCTTCCAGTATTTTCTGTTGGTTGTGGGGGTCCTGTGTGCCAAGTCTGGTTCAATTCCATCATTGGTGGGGTTCAGAGCGCTCTTTGATTGTAGGGGAACTATAAATCCCAGCAACTACAACTCCCAAATGACAAAATCTTTTTTTTTTTGAGTGAAGGACATACATTGGGTTGTTAGGTGTGCTGTGTCCAAATTTGGTGTCAATTCGTCCAGTGGTTTTTGAGTTCTGTTAATCCCACAAATGAACATTACATTTTTATTTATATAGATTGTTATTATTATTATTATTATTATTATCCAAGGACGCCAAATCCAAACAGCTGTGGAGTAATTGGGAGAGGGCGTGAAGGAAGAGATCTAAGAGGGGCAGTGGAGGAAGAACAGGGAGCTCAGTTAGATTTGACTGGTTGGCGTGTCTGAAATAAAGGAGCTACCGGGAGTATTTCAAATGCAATGGATGACCAGGTTGATGATGTCCCCCTGCCTAGGGATTATGCTGGACCCTCTCCCAGGATGATATGGCGGTGTGGATGGGACCTAGGAGTCCGTCATGAGTGTTGACCATGGAATCACACTGCTGGACACAGAGACTTCCAGAGAGAGGACGTTTATATACTGAATCTGCAGATAATCTGATCCATAAATGTCAAATCCAAATGAACAAGGGGAAGGGAACATTTCCACAGCTTTAGATCATATGTCCTCGATATCGGGCCCACAATCCTTGATGTATTGATGAATATTTTGTCCTGAACAGTTGTCTCTCCAAGCAATCCTGAAAGAAGAAGGCAAATGTCATTTCTCTGGTGGCTATTGGGGGATTGGCTCACCCACACTGGAGAATGAACGCAATTTGGCCACACCTCCATTGCCATGGCTCAATGCTATGCAGTCCTGGGCATTGTAGTTTGGGAGGGACAGCTTTGGCAGGGAAGGCTGAGGGTCTTGTAAAACTACAGTGTTGTGGCTGAGATGTTCTGTGATGATGAGGATGATGGGATTCAGATTCCTGGCTCTTTTTCTGTGCCTCAGATCTCTGGGCCTGCGGCTCCCACAGACAGCACAGACAGTGCAGAGTCAACATCAACACAGCGGTTCTCAAGAGGAAGGAATTTTAACGAAGGAGATAGGGAACAGATGCCTTCCCACGATGATACCGAAAGTGATACTGAAAGTACTGAAAGCCTTGACAGTGACCTGACCCGGCAAGCTCGTCTTGATCTCCAGGTCAGGCGGAGTTCTCGCCTGGCTAGCAGACAAGAAGCCAGCTCGGTGAAAGGTCATCGCAATGATTTCATGTAATGTTTTCATGTTAGAAAGGTATTTAGGCTTCTTGCAAACCAAGGGAAAGTGTCAGTTCAACGTAGCTTATTAGCCTGAAAGCTTCATGGAATAATCTTAGCCTGGAAAGCAGTACGCTTGGGATTTCTTGCATTGTGATTCATGGGGCAATTGTTTCATTGCTTGTACCTGGGACTCTGGTTTGAACTTTGCCAATAGGATTGTGTCTCCTGCTTTTACCTGAAGATCTTTGGAACTATATTCTGCATTTAACCTTAATCTTTGGAACTTTGCAATGCTTATTCTTTATTTTGACTTGGATTTTTTCCTCAATAAACTATAAAACTACAGCTCTTGTGTGGTGGTGTTTGGAAGCAAGGTGAAGCTTACTCTGAGTTGCAACATACAGCTCCCATTCTTCAAAGAGAAGATCACTTAGTGTTGATTTTACAAAGGATCCCAACCAAAAACCCGGATTCCAATTCCAAATCGGTAGACTCACCAAGATTTCAGGCCGTTAGAGCTCAGGATGTATCTCTTAAGACATTCAATATCATCTGATAGGTCTTCGTTTAGGAAATCTGTCAATATATATATATACATACATATTAGCATGTGTAAGCGGCGTTGCCCAGGCATGCATTTTCTGAGATCAGGTTTCTGTGAAGACCTGAGTTTCGTCATTGTAAGGACGTCTTTCTCCAGCTATCTTCCAGGCTTGCCTGGTACTCATAAAATGTCACCATGGCACCTGTCTTGTCCTCCTAGAGTGTTTCTCAACCTTCCTAACGCCGCGACCCCTTAATACAGTTCCTCATGCTGTGGTGACCCCCAACCATAACATTATTTTTGGTGCTACTTCATAACTGTAATTGTGCTCCTGTTATGAATCATCTTGTAAATATCCGATATGCAGGATGTATTATCATTCACTGGACCAAATTTGGCACAAATACCCAATACACATTTGAATACTGGTGGGGTTTGGGGGGGGGGCATTGATTTTGTCATTTGGGAGTTGTAGTTGCTGGGATTTATAGTTCACCTACAATCAAGGAGCATTCTGAACTCCACCAACGATGGAATTGAACCAAACTTGGCACACAGTACTCCCATGACCAACAGAAGGGTTTGGTGGACATTGACCTTGAGTTTGTGAGTTGTAGTTCACCCACTTCCAGAGAGCATTGTAGACTCAAACAATGATGGATCTGGACCAAACTTGGCACAAATACTCAATATGCCCAATTGTGAACACTGGTGGAGTTTGGAGAAAATAGACCTTGACATTTTGGAGTTGTAGTTGCTGGGATTTATAGTTCACCTACTATCAAAGAGCATTCTGAACTCAATGGGCCAAACTTCCCACTCAGAACCCCCATGACCAACAGAAAATACTGTGTTTTATGACGGCGACCCCTCTGACACCCCCTCACAACCCTCCCGGGGTCCCAAAACCCAATGGCATATCCATATACTACTACCCTCTTGTGGTTGCACCTGAGCACAACATGCATATATCTACCTAGAGGCCAGGAGCGAATCCCTTCTGTCTGTATACTTCCTTTTTGTGGTTGCATTCATACAGATCTATTTATTTGGTTTTGGAGCCCTATGGGGTTGATGGACATGCAAGCAGCAGTTGGATGTCCATCTGTCAGGAGACCTCATTTATTTATTTATTTATTTATTTATTTATTTATTTATTTCGGGTACTTTTACCCCGCCCTTCTCAACCCCCGAGGGGGGACTCAGGGCGGCTTACAAAAAAGGCACAATTTGATGCCTATACAAATTACACATAATGTACAAAACCATAGTTAAAACAATTATCACAGTTAAAACAATCAAAACAATCAGTATATAACACATCAATAAAACTATTCTCATGCTCAGCGTTCGTCTTTCAGAGTTCCAAATTCCATTCCATTAGTCATTTCCTGGCCATTGTCAAAGTCCTTTCTTTATCTGCCCGATTGTCCGAATGCCTGGTCCCAAATCCAAGTTTTCAGTTTTTTCCTGAAGGAAAGGAGTGATGTCGCTGATCTGATTTCCCTGGGGAGTGAATTCCACAGGCGGGGGGCCACCACCGAGAAGGCCCTGCTCCTCGTCCCCGCCAACCTCACTTGTGATAGAGGCGGGGTCGAGAGTAGGGCCTCCCCAGAAGATCTTAGACTCCGAGGTGGGATGTAGAGGGAGATCCGTTCGGACAGATACACTGGGCCGGAGCCGTATAGGGTTTTGTAGGTCAAAACCAGCACTTTGAATTGTGCTCGGAATTGGATCGGCAGCCAGTGGAGCTGACACAACAGGGGGGTGGTATGCTCCCTGTATGACGCTCCAGTGAGTAATCTGGCTGCCGCCCGCTGGACTAATTGAAGTTTCCAAACAGTCTTCAAAGGCAACCCCACGTAGAGTGCGTTGCAGTAATCTATTCGGGTGTAACAAGAGCGTGGACTACCGTGGCCAAGTCAGACTTCCCAAGGTATGGGCGCAGCTGGCGCACAAGTTTTAACTGTGCAAATGCTCCCCTGGTCACCGCTGAAACCTGGGGATCCAGGCTCAATGATGAGTCCAGGATCACTCCCAAGCTGCGAACCTGCGTCTTCAGGGGGAGTGTAACCCCATCCAGCACAGGCTGTAACCCTATACCCTGTTCGGCCTTACAACTGACCAGTAGTACCTCTGTCTTGTCTGGATTCAATTTCAATTTGTTAGCTCTCATCCAGTCCGACACAGCAGCTAGACACCGATTCAAGGTCTGGACAGCCTCCTTGGTGACAGGTGAGAAGGAGTGACAGATTTGGACATCATCTGCGTAGAGATAACATCTCATTCCGAAACTCCAAATGATCTCCCCCAGCGGCTTCATGTAGATGTTGAATAACATCGGGACAAGATTGAACCCTGTGGGACTCCACACAACAACGGTTGTGGGGCCGAACAACAGGTGTCACCCAATAACACCTTCTGGGTCCGTCCCTCAAGGAAGGATCGGAGCCACTGCAAAGCAGTGCCCCCGAGCCCCATGTCCATGAGGCGCCCCAGAAGGATACCGTGATCGACGGTATCGAAGGCCGCTGAGAGGTCCAGCAGAACTAACAGGGACACACTCCCCCTGTCCAGTTCCCTGTGCAGATCCTGCACAACACAAGAGGGTTGGTCTGCATGGCCTTTGTGTACCCCTTTCAACCCTAGGTTATTCGGTGCCATAGAGATTCTTGCAGTAAGAAAGTCACTTACAAGTACAGCAGGTCTTGCAGAGATTCTCTGATTCTATGGGAGTATCTTGGCAATGTAATCTGTTGCTCAGTTCGAAAATCCCATAATTCCTGTGGCCGTCTTCAAATGCAACGACATGTTCGCTATTCATCCTACTTCCATGAGTAGCAAAACAGACCCCTGGAAGAAAGCAAGAAAGTTCATGCCTTACATTGAAGATGGAACAATCTCGAATAGCATCCTCTATGGGTGCTTTCCACCCACAACACCTTGCAGAGAGCACCCAAAAAGTGCAAAAGCACTCCCCACCCAAGAAGAGAGCCAGGTATGCCCCGATTTAGTACATTTATTTATTGGAGACCTTCTCAAAACCACTCTTTTGGCAGGAACATCATGCCTTTGCCCAGCCTTGTGCCAGAAGGAATAGAACAGTGGTTCTCAACCTTGGGTCCCCAGATGTTTTGGCCTACATTACCAGAAATCATAACAGCTGGTAAACAGGCTGGGATTTCTGGGAGTTGTAGGCCAAAAACATCTGGGGACCCAAGGTTGAGAAGCACTGGAATAGAGGGATGCTTTTGGGTCTGTCCTGATCTATAATATAAATCTGTAAGGGGCGTCCAACGGAGCAGCAAAACTCTACAACCCCCCAACGAAACTGAACCAAAATTGCCATGCCCCTAGGACAACCCACTAGGTACAAACTAATCCACTCCAAATTAAAAACAACACAACAACACACAGATAAAACGGCAAAACAACTGAGCATGCGCACTGCCGCAAAGTCCCCAGCGCGCGCGCGCACATGGCCGAACGGCCAACGCACCCTCCGCACTTCCCTCCCTCCCTCGCCCCACCCAGCACGAACACGTAGCCGCCCATACACACACACACACACACAACGTAACTTCCCCCCCCCTTCACGGCCACTGAAACACACCTTCCCAGCCATCAAACAAGTTCTCCTACATGTTGTGGTTCAGCAACAGCATGATGGGTCTGAGAGTGCAAGTGGGCATGATGGGAATGGGAATACAGATGCAGGTGTGGGATTTCAGATTTCTCAGCCACAGTCTGTAGCTAGAGAGAAACGCTTGTTCTCACAGCCAAAGAATGTGGCTGATAAGACACTCGGTGAAGGTCACAGTGAGCCGCAGGTGTTAAGGAGAAGTTTACGGATTGCGGCCAAATCTTGAGGCCATCTGCTGGTGGGAAAACTGCTCGTTAGCTGTTCTGTTTAATGTTCATGTTTTGATGTTTTACCTATAAGTAAGCTGCTTGGGAGCTGATTCAGTGTCAGTTTCAACTTTGCAATATGGATCGCTGTGCCTTTGGTTCTAGGGCTTGGGCCTTGGGGATTGCCTGCTTCTTGTAACCTCATGCTATTTCCTGGATTGTATCCTGTTTCTTTGCCTCAAGTTTCCTGCTTTGATTCAAGAGAACTTATTGGACCTTTACCTTGTACTTTTGAACTTTTTTACTGTTTTACTTTGATTTGTTTGAAACCTCAATAAACTTCTTTCTTCTCAAGTTTGGCTGGTTTGTCAGAGAGCAAGGTGAAACTTAACCTGAGACGCAACAGGTAAGACATGCTCCCTCCTGGTAACACACCACCCCTCCCTTCCCCGCAACACACAAACACACACGCCGCTAACACACCACCCCTCCCCTGCAACACACACACATGCCGCTAACACCCCCTCCCTTCCCCACAACACACACACACGCCACTAACACACCACCCCTCCCTTCCCCGCAACACACACACACGCCGGTAACACCCCCCCTCCCTTCCACGCCACACACACACTCACGCCGGTAAGATACCACCCCTCCCTTCCCCGCAACACACACACACACCGCTAACACACCACCCCTCCCTTCCATTGGTTAGGACAGATGGGAGGAGTTAAGTCCTGAGAGGGAAAAGTGTCAGCTTGACAGAGAGCAGGGAGATTGATTTTGCAAAGAGAAGAGAGGTATTTTGGGGAGCTTTGATTTTTCTGGCAGAGAGCATTTTGTGACAGGCAAGGCTGCATTATTGGCCAGGACGGTCAAAGTAGTCGCCTGGGTGCTTGTGTGGGTTTTACACAAGTGGTTTGCTCTCTGAGTTAGAGTAGATTAGCTTTTAGAGGACTCTGCTTAGAGTGTGGCTAATTGCTCTGGGGACAACCTGTTTAGGTTAGTCTGGGGAACTCACTGCTACTGTGTTAGTGTAGAGTGAGGAGTTTTACTCGTATCTAATAGGCCTGGGTAACAACGGAAA